CCCCAAAACCCCAAAACCCCAAAACCCCAAAACCCCTTCCATAACAATTCAACTTGAACAGTCATAAAAACTTAATTAATCCCATTCCCTTCACCATTTCCCTACAACAACTTTTTCTCCTGAATTTCACTAATCTCCTCAGCTTCCTTATCCTCCTCATTCTCCTTAAAATTAGTCCTAATAGAAGTCTGTAGCTGGGACTCAAAGAAGCTTTGTCCTGTCATCCTCATGTCGTTCTGCTTGGAGATGAAGTTAAGTTCATTCTTCATATCCTCTGATGCTTTGCGGTTGAATAAGGACTCGAGTTTGTTCATGCTTTCTATTTGGATCTGGTTTATTTCTCGGTCGGACTTCCAGATCTTCTCGAAGTCTTCTTGCAGGCTGTATATTTTGTTGTAAAGATAAGTGACTTCGGTAGCAGTATTGAACTTCCTCATCTCCTTCTCCTTCTTTTTGAATTTATTCATCTGTCTTTTAAAGATCTAGATTTTAGAACATTCTTATTACCATTTCTAAAGCCAACTGCTTCTTCTTCAAGTTAACCTTCTTGGTCTTGTAGAGCAAGTTCTTCGCCTTGATCTTCTTTTTGAGAAGGAATATAGCTCTAAGAGCCCTAACAGCTTTGCCTTGTAGATCATCCCTGAAGAAGAGTCTTTGGAGGAGAGTGTAGGAGTTTCGTTGGGGAATCGTAAGCTCGAGGCCTTCTGATAAGGTAACAACCATCATACTCTCTACAACAACGCCCCAGATACAAATGAAGGACCCGAGGATTCTTCCGAAAATTGTCTTAGGGAAAACATCTCCATACCCTACTGTGGACATTGTCACAATAATGTTCCAAATAGATGTAGCATACTTATCAAATCTTTGTCCAGATATAGCAGAAAGTGGCCTCTCGTAGATCCTGAGCATCTGTGCTCACATCAAAGCAGAGATAAGAGTATTTATTGCTAAACTTGCATTTGGATACTCTTTAAAACTTCCTTTGATAGAGAACTCTATGTCAGCATATGTCCCTGTCATTGCTCAGACTCTTTGTGATCGTGGCATTGAATACTTATTAGTCAAGAATATAGTTCTCATTATTGAATAACTTTTGAAGAAAATGAAGCTGCACAGAAGATGATTCACCGGATAATGAATATCAATATCATAATCTAGATTATGCTCAACAAATTCCCAATCCTTAAAGAACCCATGAGGGCTGACTATTGAAACAATTCCTTCTACGATCATCCACTTAACAGACCCTGTACTCCAAAGAGTTGCTTCTTGGGTTACGAAGTTTTTCGTCTTATTTCCATTTAAGCTCAACCCAGTATCTATACATATTTTGGAAATTCTTACCTGAAATTAACAAGGAAGAAGAGCATTAGTGAAAAGGCAGAGGAAAGATTTAATTGTGTGTTAATATACTTATCATACTGCCCATCTTCATTAACATAATCAGTCTCGTACAGAATCATTCAGTTCCAAATGTTAGCGATGGTGAGGAAAGATGAGCAGTACTCAATAGTCTTGATTTTAGCAAAATATTCATTACTCTTACCAATATCATAGCACTTATCATCGCTCAAGTTCTTCAGAATGTTACCTTGATCATCCTTATTAGGTAATGTAGGTGCCCTGTTGAATATACTCTCATTTAGCTTCCGTGCTTCATGCAAATCATTCTGAGGCGAAAGAAGAGCTGGCTCCTTTGGTGATAATAATTGATCTTCATCTTGGAGATACGAGTCCTCTTGAGAGTCTTTACTCTGTTGCTTCTCATAAAAGTTGTACCCAGAATCCATTTCAAGTTATTTATAAGCTTTCAAAATTCTAAAGAAATAATGGGGTTTTGGGGTTTTGGGGTTTTGGGGTTTTGGGG